TTGGGGATGTACACTTTTCTATAGCTGTTTACAGAAAGTTAATAGTCGTGGTTCTATAGCATTGGGGACGTACAAACTTGTATAGCCGGCTGCAGAAAGCTGAATGGTTGCTGGTCTCAGCATCAAAGTTATACAGATTTTTATAGCCGGCTACAGAAAATGTAATGGCTGTGGTTCTAAAGCTTTGAGGTTGTACAGTTGTCTATAGCTGGCTACAGAACATTTAATGGCTGCAAGTCTAAAGCTTCGAGGTTGTACATTTGTCTATAGCTGGCTACAGAACATTTAATGGCTGCGGTTCTAAAGATTTGGGGTAGTACAGTTGTCTATAGCTGGCTACAGAAAATTTAATAGCCTCTGGTCTATAGCTCCATGTATATACAATCTTCTATAGCCGCCTAAAGAAAATTAATGGTCGCAAGTCTTTAGCCTTTGTGACATAGAATTTGCTATAGCGGGCTACAGAAAATTTAATAGCCTCGGGGCTATAGCTTCAGGAATATACAATATTCTATAGCCGCCTAAAGAAAATGTAATGGTCGCAGATCTTTAGCTTTCGTGACATAGAATTTGCTATAGCCGGCTATAGCTAGTTTTATGGGTTTTTATGGCTGACCATAGAGGACCATAGAGGGTGATAGCTTTCCATAGGATTTTCCATAGACGTCCATAGACCATTTTTGTATGGGTTATGCGGTTTAGTTTACAGAACTGAATTAAATTCTTCATCACGCAAGGAAAACGTTTGGTGTACATATTGTGTGCATGGTTAAATATATATATATAAATATACTTAAATAGGCATTTAAATACAAAAATGAAAACTGGAGCAAAAACTTAAGAATAAGTAAAGGGTGAATAAATATATATCATTTTTAAGTGGAATATTTTACTATTTATGATATTACAAGATAATTTTGACACCGAGAACTCAATAGACATACAATAAAGTGCATAGGAGGATCTTCGACATACTCACACATGGCAGAAGATAAATGAAAATGATATAGATCTGATCGGATCACTCTGCACACGATAACGTAAAGGAATTGTTTCGTTTTTTACGCAGACATGAAGCAGGGAACTATGAATAGTAATTCCGCTGATGACAATATACAATAAATAACATAACGAAAGAACTGGCGTTATGATGCACGTTTCTAGGCATACGCGACTAGTGGATTGTGAATTGGATGCAAATTCGAAGCGAATAGTGATTTTAGCCAAATATTTTTGAAAAGTTTCTATAAGCGTTTCACTGCTGCACCATGCCTTAACAAAAAAAAAGAAAAGAAAAACCACCTGAACGCGTAAAGGATGTTCACAACCTTCGGCTTAACTATGTCTTAGCAAATGTAACTTTAATCTAGGTATATTTATGGACTGTGACTTCAGAAAGTCCATTGCCTACATGGGAATGGCAAGTAAACGATGCATTTTTGGGCTAAGAGATCATTCCAATAATCGACCACGGCGTTTCGCTTTCTTTGTATATTGGGTAGCGTTAAGCATTCTGAACATGTGTAGTTGCAACTCTTCGTAGATAGCACGTGGCTTTCATCTACGAAATATCAGACGCCGCGTAGGCTTGAACATGTGAGTGACTCAGCGTTTGTTGTCCGGGTGATGCTGACTGCAAAAATAAATACCGTCAGAGAGGCAAAGGAAAACAAGTACTTTCTCCCAGACATGGCCCCAGATTCTCCTTAAACGTCGGAATCCGTCCACTTTTTGATCCCTATCAATTGCCACGCCAACGCAACGTCGTGTTGCAACAAAAACAGGAGTGCTAGAGGCGCATCCACTCCATACAGGTTCATAAGGGACCATGTTACATTGGGTTTTTGTTTGCAGAACTGAATCGAAGTCTTTTTCACGTACGGAAATCGTCTCGCCCATACACCGTGTGCACGGACGCTCTCTCGTACCCTACTATCAATTGCCTGTTAAATGTAACCATGTTGTACGCATATGGTTCTTAGCAGAAATGTTTAGTTTTAAAAGGTCTTAAATTGAAAGAAATATATGGTCTGTTAATTTGTATTAACATACCTTGGAAACAAACGTTGAAATCCAACTACCCTGTCCACTTCATAAAACGACTTAGACAGGCCATTAACACTGAATATATTTCATACTACAGGCTACGCTCAATTAAATTGAATAGCTTATGACAGGGTAGTAAGGTTTCTTCAACTATATTGTAGTTTAAGGGTTTCGTGAAGATGACTCTTTTTTTTTTTTGTTCATGTTTGTTTTCTCCCGATTGGGAATTGCACTGTTCATCGGGAGTTGGGCTTCTACGCAGAATTTATGGTGAGTTCCGTATAATATAAGTCTACGATGTCCATCGTATATAGGGTGCTAGATATATCCCAAGGCTGGCCCTCAAATATGACGAAAAATTGGCGCCAGCACAGAGAAATATAAACTTTTCACCAAATGTGTATTTTAGTGCTGCATTGTACTTTGACCCCGCACGTGTGGCGTGACTGCTCTAAACAAACCGTTGCTAGGGGCTTTGTTACGGAAAAATACATTGGACTTGATTTCGCTCTGAAGGGACGATCGGTCAAAAAAGGGACGACGTTTAAACTTCTAAAAAGAATGGATATAGGAAGCCTAGATTTCCCACTTATCACAACAGAATTTGGCCGAATATCGGCTGTTTCTGAAATAGTTGCGACAGCAATTTCATGTCCTCGAAACATCTCGAGATGCCTGCTCTAGACGACGAACGCCTGACGAACGCACACGGAATGACAGAAGTACGTCGTCTGCAACTGTTTGAATCATTTGCACAATAATACGATTCTTATGTTGTCATTATTTGGAACATGGTAGACCTAAGAAAACTCATTAGGTTTATAAAATCGAATTGCACTTGCGTGCGATACCGGATGCTGTCTGACTATAATTATCAGCAGATAGCATTTATATATATATATATATATATATAGGAAAATACTGTTGCGTAGGACGACGAAAAGTGCATAGGAATGTAAATATATATATATATATATATATATATATATATATATATATATATATATATATATATACAATTACGGCCGGTTTATTTGGTCCCTCAAGTGTGCACTGAAGCAACTGCGCAGTCAGAAATCCTTGAAAAGTGTGCTGGCTAGTCGTTCGACCTTGATACACTTCACGTCGTCGTCGTGTGTGATTGGGCTCCATAGTGTTTTCATCACCAATATTGCGGAAGCGAGGTCCACGGGAAGGCTTTCGCGCGTTCGCGCGCCTCGAGCGTCGATGATAGCTGCACACTGGCACCCTTCGCCTCCGAAGTCCCACAGAAAGTAGCCCACGAGAATAGAAGTTTCCTCGATCGTCACCAACTTCATTCAATGCAGTCTTGAACTCTATCAGGAAAAACCGCTGAACCCGCGAAGCGATCGTGTCGTCAGCCAGGAAGGCGAAAGCGGTTCTCAAACTTTATCATGTGCCTTTGTCATCGTTTTATGGTACTGAGACGATCGTAAAAACTGCTCATGGTTATAAATTGAAAAGATATAATGCTTTACAAATTATGTCCTTTTTTATCAGACAAATTCTAACCTCACGTCAAGCCCCTATGTATTTGTTCATAACAACGGCCCTAGCAATGGTTTGTTTGGAGCTGAGCGCCATGTTGTGACGTCATCACTTACGGGTTGAATTGTAGAGTTTTCCCTTAATATATAACTGTTGCAAAGGCCAACGTAATTAAATTAGCTCAATTAAGGAACTGCTCATGGACACTGCATGGACGAGCAGTACCCCCCTCACCCACCACGACTCGCCTCCCGTCGTTCGACGCGCCAGACGGCTTTTATGGTAACTGCAGTGTATTCTGTGGAATACGCACGTTTTAAAGTGCGGCGTCCAGATTGCGTTCCACCGTACCCTATGGAACACACCGTTCGTAAACGAAAGTCTAGATGGCGCTTCGCACGACGGGAGGCGGACTGAAATAAGTGAGGGGTACCTCGTTCCGCGGGAGTTCCACAACTTGGGTAATCTACAGTAACGTTGCCAAAGTCAGCGACGTAGGTCAATGTAGAAGACCGAATAAGCCAGAATCGAGTTTGTGGCTCCTTCTGCCAATTGGCACAGAGAGCAGACGACCAGTTTATATGCTTTGCACTGAGTGTGCCGTTTGCTCGTTACTCGGAGTATTGGAAGATGTCGCCACAAACTCTATTCTTGCAAACTGCAAACATAATTACGTCGCCGTCTGGCGTAAACCTTGACAAGTTTCCTTCCAGTTCACTAACCGTCTTGAGTCTCTTGCGAAATGATCGAACTTATAACTTCCATATCATGACTGACATGAGGTTATATTTCTATCGCGTGTTGTAGTTCTGCTGAGCGGTCATTCATAGTTTTTTTCTCTCTTTATGCATCGAAGAATAATATAAAGTTATTAACGGTCCTGTGCTAATTATAGAAAAAACGATCAAGACTCAGCAACATGCATTCCTCTTGCCGAGTGGCCGGACTTGCGTAAAAACTATTATTTTGATGACGCGACATACGAATTTATTAAAACCGAATTCCGAGCATTTATCTATTGTCTACAAAGACGCTTGGTCGGCGCGCTAAAAATGATTTTTAAACGGCTTGCACAAACCATATTTGCGTTGTTTATGTTATAGCACGAGTTAGGTTTATCTAATGTCACTTACCTTCGTTGATGCCGTGACTTCGTCCACCGTAGGTTTCTCTTTTGTGTCATTGGCTTCCATGATATTCCTGTCATCGCAGGTGTCAAACCAGTACATTTAATTATATATGCGAGGATATTGTTCACAATATTTATAACTGGGGTACTTGTAAGGTGACAAAAAGTACAATAATAGTTATTCTAAACTGGGAAACAAACAAAATAAAGAAAATCAAGTTTAACGTTTACTGTTTGCCTAATTTTAACATAGAATAAGTCAGTTTATGTACGTTTTTGTATACAATGATTTGCCGATACTGCACTTCTAAACATATTAATCGTTGCAGCCTTTTAAAAAACAGTGTATATTCAATGAAACATATGAGTGATCATACCATGAGTCAGATGATGTTTTAGATGTCCTATGCGTTGTTCGAGATTTATTATTTATTGAATTCAGCTGACGAGCAACCAGGTGCGTCGCATTTGGGTGGCAAGTAATTCTGTTATTATGCATCAGAAGCAATTGGTTCATGCCCCTTAACAGGCTTCCCTTGGTGATAACTAAAATTCGAGTCTGCGTGAAAAATAAAATGTGATTTTTAGATGTGAAAAGAGTGACTTCTGAAAGATAGCGACACACATTTTAAATTCATTTTAACTTGAGAAATGTAAAACGTTCCGAACTGGGTGAAAAGTTAGAATCAATTTTTTTTTTCCTTTTAGGAAATCTTATGCATACACAGGGTGTTCGCTTTTAATTCCAGCAGACTTTTGAAGAAAAATTCGTAAAATGCACTGATGCGGTTTGTACAGATGAGTTCTTTTACTCGGGTGACCAAATATATGGGGCCCAATGCTCATAATAAGTTGGATAATGAGCTCAGATATTTTACTTACACCTTTTTATTACTGGAACAAATATAAGGTTCCAACTAAAAACTTGCTGGGTGTCATCGAAGAGCACTAAATCAATCAACTATAGAAAGTCTTGAAGCATGTGAGAAGCGCGAAATTTCACCAAACATATCACTCGTGCAATAGGCACAAGGCTAGCACTGGGAGAACGTGGATGATAATCTAATCATCCGGGTTTCCAAGCAACTATAGTCTCGCGCCCGTTGTACGACTGGTAATCTTGGTGCACCCTCGCCCTTCACTTCTTTTTTCTAAAATGGACTGATTTATCAATTTTTATGACGCTCAGCAAGCGTGTAATTGAAACGATAAAATTATTATACCAAATGATAGTGTTAAGCAAATAATTTTAGTTTATTGTCTTACCTATTGTGAGGATTACTCAAGCAGTTTTTGTAATTCATCTGTTCCATATAAAATCAAACAGCCTGTATAGCGTACTTACTATAAGAAGAGAAATAATGAATGGTCTTATTTCCGAGACAAAAAGCTTATTTTAAGTAATATACTTGAGGGTGAGGAACATAATAATATAATATACAGTTATAAAATTATACAAAAACGAAGCCAAACTAGGAGTTCTAAATTGAAATATAGACAGCTTTATATTTGTCAAAGGCTTATTTGTTTTTATATTTTTTTTCAAAAAATTATTCATCTTGTATGTTTGGCATCAAAGTTATGTAGATATTATCAGAATTACTATAGTCAAAGCGGTCAAAATTGTACAACATGGCGGCAGCCAGGGGAGGGGTCACTTTTGCCTGGTGAAAGTGACAGCATTTTATCGCGCTAAGTCACTCTCCCTCGTTGGTTTTTGCTGAAAAATATGCACATATTAAGTCATTCATCCTGCTTTATGTTTCACATGTTTCAATTTTTCAGTGGTGATTTCTAATCAAAGGCTTCCAACAAGAGTCATTAAACAGGAACCAGCAACATTTCCCTATATTTATTGATGCGTTTAAATGTGTGCTCACTAATAGTCGAGAAAAAGTGTTACACTTTGTCTCAGCTTAAGTACAGACGCAGCCGACGCCACGAGTTGATGGCACCAATCAAGCCTCGTCAAAATCTTGTCACAGGGTCTTTCATTTTATGATTGGTTCAGCTTGCAGAAAGATGGTGAACACCACGACGGTGCGATTTTCACGTGGTTTGATTGATCCCATCAGCTCATAGCGTCGGCGGCGTCTCGACTTAAAGTGAAACTAAGTATAGCACTTTCCCCGTTGCTTAAAAGTGATACATGTCATTCCCAAGCTAAATCAAGAAAACACTTTCACAGATTGTATTGACTTTATATTATTATTAGCCCCTAAATTGTAGTAATGAAAGGCATACCTTCTGCCGAAGTATGCCCTTCTCTCCAAGAACTTTCTCGAAGACATTTTCCGCGACTTTTGAGTCCAGGGCGCTAAAAGGCTCGTCCAAAAGGTAAATGTCTGAACGACTGTATGCAGCTCTCGCAAGAGCGATACGTTGCTTTTGACCGCCGCTTAACGTTTCTCCCTGAAAAAAAATAGATATTTAGAGTTATTAGAGGATTTTGAACACGTTGTTAATCTGGGTTGTTTGTTTTCACTTATGCCGGTTTTGTTTTGTGAATAGAAGGACTGTTACATAAAGATTATCTTCAGTCATGGTTTACCATGATCGGTTCTTTTTGACAGAGAGATTTTATTGTGATTTGAATATTTACCAAACTATATAATTACCTTCCTAATTGCTGGGTGCAAAAGCCATGCTCTAACTGCAGTTTTCAATTAAACTTAAAATGTTAAACAGAGGTCCTAAGTTTATGGAAGAAATTTAAATTGGGATATTTACCGATCATTTCTACTTTCATCCCGACTCAGTTTGAATCTGGTCACTAAAGAATCGTGTCCACTTCCGTACGCCAGACAAGAAACGTGAACGTTTTGGTGCCTAAGTAGAGATAATGCTAAGAGTTGAACGGACAAAGCAAACAGCAACATATTCAGCGTAAAGGCGGCCGAAATCCTCTGCGCGTGTGCCGTGCCTAATCTAATTTCGGGTGGGAAATAGGCTTTGGTACTGCACTATATAGTGTGTTTCTTACGAAGCTAAGTGGATTTCTTTAAGAAATACTGTGAAAGTTACACTAATGCGGTTTTTTTCAGGTGAGTTATACGGCCAGGGGGAAGATAATACATGGGCGAATCGTGACGATACGTCGAATGCACTAAATAGAACCCGGTAATTAAATTCAGAGCCGGTGGCAGATGATGTCATAGCATGATACGTATAGCCGTAGCTTACTGCCCCCAGTTAGTTTTAAATGCGACAGAATTACCTCAGAAGGGCCCTGCAAGGACCTTTTTACTGATTTTAATTAGCACCGAACCTGAGCGCACTGAACGTAGTAACTTAACGAAACTTTTCTTTTCTTGAATTTCGCTTTACTTTAAAAGTTATAGGCAAATTAAAATTACAAAATGAAGCAAAAAAAAAAAAAAACCTCCTTCAGACGTCTTTGGCCGCTTGAGTGGCCGTGAACAAGAGGAGAAGTAGTGAGCTGAGCGAGCGCTCACGGCTGCCGCACTCCGTGGTAACGGCTTGAGAGCACGCCGCTAAAACATGTTTCAAATAGGCTTTATGAAGCAGGTAGCCAGGGCGGCTCGCATTGCATTTGCTGCGCGATTAAACACTAATACGACATGACTCATTGGCCACGAAGGACAGCAAACACGGGGTAAATTCAGTTCAGAACGGTAGCCACTTCGCGCTGCCATACCGCCAAAAGGCTAAACCGCAAGCCAAAGCTGCTCGCCGAAGGCCTTGGGAACGCTCGGAACTGGTCGGATCCTCGGCTGCAGCGCCCCCGCGTACATCCGGGACCTTTCTACGCTCGCAGCTCTTCGGTGCCTGATCCTTTCTAGTATGCGCCGCCTTTTCCACCGCTTGGTGGCGGGTTTGTCGACAGGTCATTTCTTGTTTCCGTACTTTATAAACTGCATTTGTTTCTTTTCTGATCTAAAATGCTGAACAAAAACTACTTTCATAAACAACTGAAAAGGTTTGCGCCACTTATATTTTGTATTTCGACTAAAACGAAGCTTTTAGCGACTCTGAGCAGTAGTAAGCCCAAGACCAAAGACTTCACACATCGCGCGCTTTCGGCACCACGGGCCGGCCCCGTAGGTGGAGGTGGTTTCTGCGTCGTCCGGTTAAAATATGATGCACTGATATTTAATTACTCTCTCCGGGCCCGCTGGCTTGCCCGAACCCCAAGAGATGTGGAAACCGCAAAAAAATGTAGATTCTTAAATATGATCGCAGGGCCCCTTGAAGTCATCCCCTGAAAAAAATGTTTCGTCGTTACGTAAAAATTCGTGCTCCTGCGAGAGAGAGTGAGGTACAAGCGCCGTTCATTTCTTATCACAAGGCATGCGAGTGTCGCAGAAAAAGTGCGCTACATGAGCCGCTCGACTCTCCTCATCACGCGCACACGCTGGTTACGAGACGAAACGATCACTGGATGTGCAATAGTCTTCACAATGCTTAGCAAAATGGAGGATCGTATCAAAGAGGATAAAGCTGAGTACAAGCGGAAACGTGCCCAGTACAATAGCGCTCGGCGTACCGAAGAGCCACCGCAGGACAGAGAGCAGCTTCTGGCAAAGGATAGAGAAGTGACACGGGCTCGTCCAGGTATGGAATGTTATCATGTTTTGACATAGTTGTAAGAGAAACGCCGTTGAAAGAATGCCAAGTTTTTCTTCATCCCGCGAGCGATCCCTTTACAGTAGGTGTATCAGCTCTACCAACTTCACTTCTTCTTGTTCTCGTTGAAGGTTTAGTTGTCTTACTCAATGGACATTACTCGTAATTTTACATTTTGGCTGTGGAGCGGTGAAACGTAACCCATGCAGCGTATTCGTTCTAAAAGCCGTCAGTTAAGTCCAATTCCCTGCTTTGAGGCGGTTGATCGACACTGCGAAAACATTTTGCTATCACTTATTTGCAGAATTGAAAGTGTTTTTTTTTCTGGCATACTCTACTACTTCTAGAAGTCATGGACATGTGTGTGATATCACATTTTTATGGATTGGTCACAATATGTAATAAAGTTAATATGAATGAATCCATCTCTGTGTTCTGATTCCAGAGAAAAAGGCACAACTTACTCGTTCTGAAACCTGCGTCATATCTCCTGCTGGAAGAGTTCGAATATCCTGAATGAGCTCACATGCATTCAAAACTCGGGCGTAGCGGATATCATCAAATTCGCTACCGAAAACAATATTGTCACGAATAGTCATGTCGAAGACGTGGGCAACTTGCGGAGCATAGGCAATGCGACCCTGAAAAATGCAAGAAATGAGGATAAATAAAATACATTCGTCATATCTTAGTGGAAGTTTTCATATATTTCTATATTCGAATACTTATGAAAGATGTTCGAATACTTATGGAAGTAATTATACTTCTGTATTTCCCTGAGCGATCCCAATTACTAAAAATGCATAATCCTGTTTCTATTTGAAATACCAAATTCCTAGTTCAGGAAACAAAGGAACTTTTTTATATAAGGCTTTGTGACCAATTCGGGCTTACAGTGATTTTGACGTCTCCTTTCATGCAGTCCATGTCTCCCAGAATGGCTGCAAGAAGGGCAGACTTGCCCGTCCCAATTGGACCGGTGACCCCGACAAGGGACCGAGGTGCAATGTCCAAGGATATGGATGTAAGGGTTGGCTTTTCTTGCTTTTTGGTCCACCCAAATGAACAATTTTTCATTACGATGGCACCTGGAAGAACAAGGTACGGACCGTATGTAGAAATACTGCATGCAATTGTGTTGCATTATGCAAAGAGCTTCAGTTTACTTTTTCTTTCTTAAAGACTAGGTTTTGAATACCGTGTTCACAGAATGTAACAAGTTCTTCGGACTCTAGATGAATTAATAGCTATAGGGATCAGCAGAAATATTATTTAAATTGGTTAATTACTCTTAAATGCTGTACTCCGTTTCAAGATAACTTGAGGAACTGTGGAGGCTAGGGCCCCACAGCCCAACAAGAGCGTCAAAGCGAGGCACGTGACGCGACGTCCCGGGAGAGTTTGTGTCACTACGCCAAACGCGAGGCTCGAGGCCCGAAGGAACCAGCTGTCGTCTGCTAACTAATAGTCGTCTTCTCTGAAACCAGCCAACTTCCGATGAACCTCCACCGCAGCAACATTTCCGTCCGCTAGAATTGCGAGCACTTCACTAACGATTCATGAGACAACCATACGCTCCTTGAAGCCACGAATCTGTGACGGGTGATAATGCCAGGGCACAGTGCGATGCTTTGAACGGAAACGGGTGATTATAGACGGCTGCTATTGCCGGCGATTGCCGGCTCACGCCAACGGCCAAGACGTTACAATGAGAAAAAAAAATCGGGAAAGAAAACGGATGTGCTGTTACTTTTCTGCTTTAAATATAATTGAAATTTATAGATTTGGGATTATTTATTCTTTATTCTTGATATTTTCTAGTTAGAAATGGAATCGCGCGAGTTCAGTTGCAGTTAAAGAGAAAAGAAACCTAAAACTACTTTTTGTCGTGGACGGCGCTGTTGCTGTGAAGAAAACGAAAACCCCGTGGCCACGACCATGGAGTGTTATCACGTGCCTTGCACCGGCGTTCTGACACTATTCCTACCGAACCTTATATACAAACACTGAAAGCTATATTTATGCACCGGTCTCAAGGGTGTAACAAGTGCATAAAAGTCCGTTGGAATTGAGATCAAACACAATGTGCTTTATTATTATGAAAATGATCAAACATATTCAAATGTGCTCTACTAAATTATATCACTTGAAGAAAGAAACTATTCGCTTCTATAATCAGACCCTGAAACAAGTCCATGTTCAGATACCTGGTAAACAGAAACCTTGTGGTACACCCCCAAAATGTGCTTTTTTCTATAATGGTTAAACTATTATTACATAAATAGTGGCGAGAATTATAGAAGTAATAACAGTAAAGGTTACCGTCCTGGAATAAAAGCGAAAACCAATAATATTTTGGAGAGCCGCTTGACCAAAGCAGCTTAAGGGTGTTAAATGTTAAATTTCCACATCGGAGGCCAAATTATTTTATCTATTTTGCGTGCATACCAGAACTCCGAAAACTTCGAACTCTGTCTTAATATTGGTAACAAAAGACACTACCTTGAGCTTGAGAGGGGTCCTTGAAACAATCTTTTTTCTCTGCATGCTCTTCTTGGGCGCAGAAGTTGATTATTCTTTTGAGTGCAAGTGACATCTGTGGCAAAGTTTATAGAACACAAAGATACATGTTGTTAAAATAATAAGACATAGTAGAATTGAATTGTTATTTGGAACCACCCGATCGTATTATCGAAATACATTTTCCGTTGCCACCACTTCACATCGTTACGTGCATTGCAATTGTAAGGAGTGAGACCAGCACGTTATTGCTCGCAAAAGACGTCGCTAATTTTCGCATGACATTATTCATGAGGACAAAGAAATATAAAATATATTTAGAAGTCATTAGGATAGCTTTTTTCTACATTCTTTCTGCGTGACAACAAGAAAGGAAGCTTTTCCTCTGAATTATAAAAATATGAAGAATTTTTCGGACTTAGTGTGAGTCGCGATAATATTAAGATTCTAATTATCTGGGACACGGTTCTGTTATGTAGAGACGCCGTTCATTCATATTAATGATAAGCATAAAGAGCATGAAAAATACTATTGGACGTAGTGTGTGTTTAATTTAAATTAAGGTGTAGGGTAACGAATTCTCGCTCAAACAATGCACCCCATAAGCTTCCCTGAACTGGTGCTTTAAACTAGTCATGCCTGGTGAGATTGAATTAATACTTTTTACATTTGTGAAAGATAATGTTACATCTATCACTAAATTTGTCGTCTATCGTAGAAGTCATTCCTATATTTCATATTATTATAAACGAGGATGTCATATATTGCACGCGCGTTGGCGAGCAAGCGCGTGCGTGGCCGAGTGGTTACCGCGCTTGACTGTCGCGCGGAAGGTGTAGGTTTGATTCCAGCTAGCGGACTGTCCTTTTGTTTATTCTTTCAACTTGGCCTTCTAGTAAGTTCGAGAACGTTCTCGTCTGATCGAGTTCCAAATGTTCTACGCACCGAAAGTTCTACGCCGAACGATCCAGAAACCCACGAGGGTACATAAGGGATTCCGCAAGGCGAGCGGTGCCAGTTTCGCCCCAGCGTTCGACTCTGCTGTCACACCTACTTCGACGTCCGCGACGCTCTGCTTTATTCTGTTCCCTTTTTATTTTTGGGCACAAGTTCGCCCCCATTAAACGTTTAGTTTCTTCAGTTATTATCGCCGTATCACTTGTCATTCGTGACATCTTGGTTGAGGTGCTGGGTAATCCCGACCGGTTGGAGGCATTACGCCGCCAGCGCAGCTTGACATTGAAAGAATTAATAAAAGGGCAGTCCGCTAACTGGAATAGAACCTGCACCTCCCGCGCTAGTCAAGCGCGGTAAATCCTCGGCCACGCACGCGCTTGCTCGCCGACGCGCGTGGCAATGTAGCGTATTAAACTACCGTGTGACAGGCTAAATCATAGACTTCCCGAAATGTTTCTGCTATACATTCAACGTAATTGTTCATTTTCTCAATCAATTGTATACGTGTTTGCAAAAAAAAATTATTATTTTAGTTATACAAATAAATGTAATTTACTACAACATAACATTCTAGTTTCAAGGTTACTTGTGTTTATTTACTATCTGCAACAGTTTATTTTACTTTCTACTTCTATGAATCTGTCTGTGTTCCCGAAATTACATTTATTAGCTAACCTGAATATAAGTTAATCCGTGAGAAAATATGTATCATTAACAAACTTTTGACGCACAATTACGACAGAATTGGCTAGAGGCCTTGCACGTTTCTGAATCTTATTACCCTTGATGTTTCATAAAACATTTGCGGTTCTTAATTGTACTTACCAGACATCTGAGCCTGAGGAGTTGAGATAAATTGCTGGTAATTGTATCTGTGAGTGACAACATGTAGATACAAGAAAATGCTAGTGTAGGGTTAAGCAGCCGACTTGGGTCAAATATAGTCATGCTGCCAAAGAGAATGATGATCATCTGAAAGAAAAGCTTCATCAGGCTTGACGTTTCGTCCTGATGTTTTGCCAAGTATTTATTACAACATCATATTAAAAAGAGCTCTTGCAGCCGGAAAAAATTATCCGGACATTTACTTGTTTTAGAGCGCAGCTCTTAGGGGCCCGTTTCCGGCTTGAGCGGCGTCGCCGTCGCCGTCGCCGTCGCCGTCGCCGTCGGCGTAACCGCGCGGTGCATCATGGGAAATGTCCCATAATGCACCGCGCGAGCCCCCCCCCGGGGTCACGTGACTTCGTGGGGGGGGCACGTGACCCCCCCGAGGTCACGTGACCCCCCGGTCACGTGACTCCCCTGAGGACACGTGACCCCCTCCTCGAGGTCACGTGACCCCCCGAGGTCACGTGACCCCCGGCGATGTCGCGTGACCCCCCGATGACGTCATCGACACTGATGACGTCACCGGCATCTACATAGTCATCGTCATCATCACTGATGACGTCAACATCAATGATGATGACGATGACGATGCGGATGCCGGTGACGTCATCAGTGATGATGACGATGACGATGTGGATGCCGGTGACGTCATCAGTGGTGATGACGATGACGATGTGGATGCCGGTGACGTCATCAGTGACGATGACGACGTGGATGCCGGTGACGTCATCAGTGATGATGACGATGACGATGCGGATGCCGGTGACGTCATCAGTGATGATGACGATGACGATGTGGATGCCGGTGACGTCATCAGTGATGATGACGATGACGATGTGGATGCCGGTGACGTTAGCGACATCCGCATCGTCATCGTCATCATCACTGATGACGTCATCAGTGACGTCACTTGATTCGTCACCGGCATCCGCATCGTCATCGTCATCATCACTGATGACGTCGTCAGCGACGTCACTGATGACGTCACCGACATTCGCATCGTCATCGTCATCATCACTGGTGACGTCATCAGTGACGTCACTAATGACGTCATCGGTACCCGCATCGTCATCGTCACTGATGACATCATCAGTGACGTCAGTGATGACATCATCGGCATTGGGGGTCACGTGACCCCCAAGGTCACGTGACCCCCCAAGGTCACGTGACCCCCCCCTGGTTAGTCTAACCCCCCCCCAGCGCCCTTCCCTCCTCCTCCTCAAGAGCTGCGCTCCAATTCGGCGTTACAGGGAGTTGTAAGCGGCTTTCACTTTTTTTAAGTAATTATCAGTCATGTACGATGTAGCGATAACCATTCAAGATATAAATGTCAACAGCAGATTAACACGCGTTGTCAAGACAAAAAAAAATTCCATATTTAAATATGAGCATCAAACCCCCTGTAGAAAAACTTGTAATTGGGCTTCATGGTGAACGATATGAAGCATGGTGTGCGACGCAAAAACCAATGGGAACAAGGAAGAAAGAATAGTTGTTTACTTACAGTCACGAAGAGTTCCACTCAAGGTAGACGCACACACACACACACACACACACACACACACAACACACACACACACACACACACACACACACACACAGGCGCCACTTACAACTATATTTAAAAAGTGCAGAAAAAAACATATATCGTCACGTTCATCACGTCCACGCAAGCCACGCTTGGCCGAGGAATGGGAGATAAAGCATGTATCCCTCAGCCAAGCGCATACGTGGATGTAATAAAGGTGATGAAATCTGCCTTTATTTTTGTTTTCGGCACTTCTCAAATATAGTTGTGGGAGGCGTCTTTGCCTGTGTCTTCTTCCTTATTTCCGTTGTTTTTCGCGCCTTACACCGTGCTTTCTATCTATCTCTAGCTCCAACACGCTTATCGCACCCATGCTCCCTCCCATATGTCACCCATAGTACTGGATTTTAGAGTTTTCTAACATCCAAAGAACGTATGATACCTTTATAAATTATAAAATTAACATTTTCAACTATCAAATCAGCATATATAAGAGCAATACCTCAGCTAGAAATTCGTAAAACTAATTAACTTTTCTTGCATTTTATTAGTTGATAATTCACTTGCAAAATTCCACTCGGAAGACGATGATGTTTTATGTATTTCGTGACGAATCAACAAGACACAGGAAAGATCTCACTTAAAAATGATTAACTTATTTAAAACATTTCAATCACGATTAGTAGTTCCGCTTTTGTCAGTGCAGCTAAGAATAAAACAAGTAATGCTCACATAGTATGTCTCTTCTCAAAAGATACTTTTCAAATGAAGCATTCTACGGTCAAGAATTGGCCTCGACTATTTGTAGGGAAACTGTATAAAGACGAGCTCGAAGAAGTATCTTTCTCCACAATTATTAGAAATAAAACCATGTTTTAGTGAGGCATCGCAGATCTCAATCTGTACCTAATGTTCTAGATACATAAATGCTTCGTCAATTTCGTGAAGATACATAGCCAAAACGGCCATTCTGCCGCCACGCTACCATTGAGCTGGTTCCGCTGTAGAGAGAGTCAATTAAGCCATCCAGAAGATTGACTCTGAAAACAGAATTCATCTCAGATTCCCGAAAGCCTTTCACCGAGTCCATGTAAGCGTCTTCCCAGGCACACATCTTCACCAGCCGCACAGACGTAAGCAGGTCAGCCATTCGCTTTAGGCGCTGATCCCGACTGCTCAGAATGTTGCCCTAAAGTAAAAGACAAATTAAGATGAGCGTGTCTTCTCCACTCAACATACACTGGTAAGTAGAGAACACCCATCTCCTGCTTAGTTTGCTTTAGATTCTTTGCTACTAATCCAATGAAAGTTTATAATATTATTTCTATCATAATACTTCTGTGTCAATTTATTTGTTGATAGTGTCTTTTGGGTTTTCGTCATTGCTTTCACTTTACACTCTCCTGAAACAATTTTGTTAATCTACATTTGAGCATTAACGCGCGTTGAAAGGGTAAAACATTTTCTTTAAAAATGTATGCGTCAGAAACACAGCCGATCTCTAGTGCATAGTAGAAAGCGCATTTATAGGTCCTTTGTATACCCCAGAATCACTCTAAATGCACAGCATTTAGAGGTGAACAGTGAGCTGTGCTTTTTTAGGCACCTTTTAAAGGATATAAAGTGACGTAAGTGAAGTAGTGGAAGCATATACAAATACATTTACAGATCTTCCTTGCCCTCTTTCCCCATCCTGGCTCAAACTACATTGGACAGATGGACAACCACAAGAAAAACGTTAGGTGAAAGCCCTTTAAATGCTGGGTTTAGTATAGCAGTGCTAGGCGGAAATTAAAATTTATATCAAGATCTTATCTAGAGAGGTTCCTTTTCGTTCTTTCATGCAATGCCTTGGGGGGGGGGGGGGGGGGGCAACAAGCATCAGTTGGGTATATTCGCCTACATTCATAGGGCGCACTAATTCAGACATAGGGACAGCATCATTCACGGAACAAACCCCATTCAAACTCATCGTGTTCGCACAGAAAACATATCTGAGAAGCATTCTATAGGAGACGATATCTCAGCTCTTAGTAATGATGGTAAACATTAACCCTTTAAAGGTTTATGACGACCTCAGCTCGTCACGAGCGATTGCCACTTTTTTGCTTATGACGAGCTCAGAACGTCATGGGTACTTTCGCTACTTTCTAAATGGCTGTTGACGAGCACAGCTCGTCAAGTAGCGTTTTCTGTTTAAAAACATAGATGGCAGCACTTTCTTTCGTCCACGCTTTTCTTGAATGACAGTTTTCACACTAGATGGCAGCAGACGTTTCTTGTATGCTCTCCTTGTTTTTTGAGTCTCGCCCTGTTCGCATGAGATTTTCCCGCGCTTTCAAACAAACATGGCATCATCCGTGCGTCGTTCTAGTGCGGTTGATTGTCATCCGTCAGATGATAGCGAAAGTGATGAGGATGTTGACTTCGATTTTGATTCTTCAAGTGAAGAAGATAGTGACGACAGTCTCAACGACAGCGAGTCAGATGACGAAGAAAGTATCGATGAGATGATCGCCAGCTCCCGTGCGTGGTGTCGCATAGACCTCAGCAATATTCCAGCGAGACCTCCACGGTTTCAATTCAAGGGTTCATCGGGACTGACGTTCACAGTAAGCTCACCCCCACAGCCACTAGAGCTTTATGAGGCTTACTTCGATGATGAACTGTTTGATGTTATTGTAGCTGAGACAAACAGGTACGCATCTCAGTTGCTGAATTCAAGGAACCTGGGCAAGCATTCTCGCTTCCGAAAATGGTTCCCTGTTACGCGTGAAGAGTTGCGTGTTTGTTTTAGCCTCTTGATGCTGCAGGGCATTGTAAAGAAACCAAACGAAAGGCTGTACTGGTCGAAAAGCCGCCTGATTGAGACCCCTGCCTTTGGTGAGATAATGCCTGGGAACCGCTTCCAGCTCGTCATGAGAATGCTGAACTTCGTTGACAACACGACCATCCAGAACTTGGAAGGACACCCCCAACATCTGCTCCGAAAAATCTGGCCAGTGTATCAGGAGCTTGTGAAGAAGTACCGTACATTGTACGTGCCTGAGCGCGACATAAGTGTCGACAAAAGCTTGTTGCTTTTCAAGGGACGGCTCAGTTGGAAACAGTACATGCCTCTAAAAAGAGCAAGGTTCGGCATCAAGTCATTCCTGCTGTGCGAGTCGGAAAGCGGATCTATATGGAACTCTATAATATATACGGGAAAAGGCACCGACCTGGAGACCTCGTCAGTAGCAACGGAAAGCTTCGGAATGGCAACAAAAGTTGTAGTGAAGCTTGTGGAGCCTCTCTTGGACAAGGGCTACTGCATCACTACAGATAACTTTTACACGTCCCCAGAACTTGTTGGCTTCCTGCTCAAAAGATCAACCGATGTTTATGGCACAACACGAGTGACACGCATGAATCTTCCTCCTGGCCTAGCCACCACAAAGCTCAAGAAAGGCGATATGCTGGCCTTTCAAAGGGGCAAGTGTTTGCTGATACAGTGGAAGGACAAAAAGCTGGTAACGGTTTTATCCACTGTGCATAGTGCTGAAATGGTACCATTGATTGACAAAAGGGGCAACCAGCTCATAAAGCCTGAAGCTATCTTGGATTACAACCACACAATGGGTGGAGTGAACAGGGCAAACCAGATGCTGTCTAGCTACTCAGTGCCACGGAAGCGAAAGAAGATCTCGTACAAGAAGATTTTCCAGCACTTGTTGGATGAAGCGACATACAATTCATTTGTCCTCTATCAGAAAGAAGGAGGCCGAGCATCCCACATGGATTACCGGCTGCAACTTGTTGACGAGATCATCACCAAGTATTCAGGGAATGGCAGTGCCAAGAAGAAAGGGCGGCCAAGATGTCCTCTGAACATGAAGCGGCTTACTGAGCGCCACTTCCCGTCGCACATCCCGCCGACAGAAAAGAAGCGAGAACCGACACGCCGCTGCATCGTCTGCTACATGAAGAGAGGCAGCAAGGGCAAGAACATCCGCAAGGAAACTAGGATCTGGTGTAGGTGGTGCGAGAAGGCCTTGTGCGCAGTGCCGTGTTTTGAGCGCTACCACACCGTTGGTAGTCTCCAATAGTTGGGAGGGGATCAACGTAGGAAGAGTGCATTTTGTGTATTGGTATACATAACCAACCCTTTTTTTCCGGAGTTCAAGCAATGGACAATACATAACGGCCAATAAACATTATTATCTGCTGGAAAACGTTTGCAGAGGTGTTTTCGTCTTTTAGACATGTTATTGAAGCATTTCACGTCATAAAAAAATTGAGCCATTTTGGTGCATTTTCTTTTTATTTATTGAGCCCTTAAAGGGAATTGCTAATGGCTTACGACAACCCAATTTTTGCTGTTATGCAATAACCTAATATAACGTGTGACTTTAGTGAATAATGTATTGTGTTCTTGATATTAAGAAATGAAGGACGTTTACAAATCTCTTTAATGCAAAACTAGACTACAGCTATTGTAGAGGAGAAGGAGGACAGGGTACGGAGAGGAGGGTATGACCCTTCTCTTCCCCTCCGGTCCTCCTTTTCATCCTTCCCTTCTCCTCCTCCTTTCCTCCTCATATTCTCCTGCCACTGAATTTGTTCATGGGTGATGTGACACAAAGTTGTGACGTCATTTTTTCTGCTAATTTTAGCGGAGAAACTAAATTGGTGTTTAGGTCGTGTGACGTGAATTTCCCCGCTAACTTTAGCGGGGAAATTCACGGAAAGCCGGAATTAGCCGGAAAGCTTTTCGCTAAATTGAGCCGAGAAACTTTTCCGCTAAAATTAGCGGGAAAATTTCTCAGCTAAACTTAGCGGCCGTTTACTTATTAGCTGCATTGACCTCTTGAAAGATGTGTGGTTTGAAGGATTGATGGGTCTGAAGGGATGAAGATCTGAAGGACTAAAAATCTAAAGATCAAAGGCGGTAGAAGGGCCGAGCGAGTCCCTCGATATATGAAGACTAAAGCTTTCTTTTAATATTGAGGTGCCATCTGTCGATTGGCGCAGCAAGCAGTAGCCGTCCTCAGACGTAAGCAGACGTTGCTGTTGCGTGCACGCTAAACCCATTCAAAGATGGCGCCACAAGCAAGAACTTTGGTTTACTTGGTTTTCCCTGTCGGCTTTCGCCGCTTATCGTGTCAAGGGCGTCATATATTCTTTACGGCAACACAATTATGCCTTAATCTTTCACAAGGTAAAGTGCATAATTAAACTACTTATACTTTACCAAAGTTAGACTTCGCGGTGTGCAGGTACTCATCTTTGCGGTTGAGATAAGGGTGAGTCTCGATATCCGCAGCAAATTTTAGTAGACTTCTTTTGTGCACCATTTCCGCTTTACGGAGCAGAAGAATCATAACTACGCATGCGCGGGCGCCCTGAGTTTGAGCTTAGCCGGCAGCACATCCGTGGTTTGGCTGGGAAGGAGCGGAGCGGAAAGGGAAAACTAACGTACTAAAACATTCTGATAACAGCCGATGCAGCGTCTATTTTTTTATAGGAGCTGGTACTTACCCAAAGCACCATCTGGAGCCTGGATATCGGAACTGGCATGAGGACGACAAGTACCATCCATGCAGCGCAGCAAACAACGGGCCCTCGGCCTACTCGCTCGGATAACATTGCGAACATGAATGGCATGCATATCAAGCCCAGAACCGGGAATGGCAAGAACTCTATTGCCAGAGCACACTGCTGGCAGTCCACTCCAATGACGGATACAACATGACCGGACGTGCTTAACTGGCGGGAAGTTGGGGACAGCCGAGTCATCTGGAACATTGAAAAGTGTTAAGTGATCTGGACAATACGGTTATGTTTTTGGCGTCTGTGCCCGAATGAACTATTTTGAATATTGCCTAGACATTGGTCCTGCTAGTCATTTTGTCTTTTTGATCGGAGCTTTTTTATTTCTGAAGTCTCAGTTTCTCCCTAGAAATTAATTAGTCTGCATCATAATACACAGACCTGGAGTTACCATTCTCTTTGCGGTGCTGTAGAGGATATAATGCTAGGAGTAATGTGGTGTTCCCGCATGTGTTTCCTTGACGTGATGAATGAGCCATTTCAAATTTAAAAAAAAAAGTTGCATGCATTGTTTCTGATCTAATAACCAAATAAATATTTACATATGATGAAAGTGCGCTTTATATTAACCGGTGATCATACGCTGCAAGTTCGACAAAAAAAATTCAAAGCAATATATTGTTTTAACATACCTTTCGAAACATGGTAGCCTGAAGAATGTTCCGAATTCGAGTTGCACAGCGTATAGATAGATGCTGTTGATAATAGGACAAGCACGACTCGGCCACGCATGTTCCGATGAAAAGGAAAGCATTCGCCCCAGTCAGGGAACTGTCGTCCCCGGTCATGAAACTTCTTTTTGTGGACCAGAAAAAAAATAAAAAAAGCATTGCATCAAAACAAATTTGAGGAATTTATTTTATTAGGCGCTTTATGAATTACGAATCATCAGTGCGACCTTTAGCAGCATGTGAGCCCTTTACGCTTTTCAGCAACACATGAGGAATTGCAATTAGCATTAATTCGTTTCTTAAGTGCGAACGTGTCTTTATCAAAAAAAACAAAAAATTAAAGGAGCAAAACGCAAAATAACAGGAATATAGGTACGCACGAGCATTAATCTGATGTATCAACCACAGGGTACAAAAGCCCACAAAAGTACACCTGGACAAGCAAGTGAGTCGACTCGATTTTTAGCGTGTTTACTTTGTGGGCAGAGATATGGTACAATAATTTCCTTACATTACGGCACAAACACATCGTAATAATTATAAAGACAAATAACTAACACTGAATCATTCTTGGAAATATTAATCTTCGCTGGCATATCTCAGTTCAGCTTTTGTTGTCCTGACAGGAATGAGGCACTCGCGGTTGCGAGATAAAGACGAAAAAATTATATCTGTGTCACTTCGGTTATTGAGGAATGTTGAATGTTCAAAACCCAACACACTGAAAATTAAAAAAAAAAAAACGTTTTAAACGGTTATTTATTATTTTTTTTTTTTTTGTAGTATGTTACAGCTTTCTTTGGGGCCTATATTTGTATGGTACCCGCTCCCTCGGCGACCTTTCACATCTTTTCGAGGAGCCACTTCAGTCTTAAGTTAAAACAAGTTAAACGCGTAAAAATGACGCGTTTTGTTTTTGGAACGTCGTAAAATGCTGGGCTTGCTTTATGCCATTGTAATGTGGGTTGATTCAGAAGTTTTGAATGAATCGCTTCAAGTTTCTAATTGAAACCGTACCTTTAACGTTGACAATTTGAAAAAAAAAAAAGAATTATTATAAAGTATACAATTACCCGATTGTACGCTAATACTTTTCTTGAGCGGAACTCTTGGTTCCAGCCACCGCTGCATCAACTTATTTTTTGTGCGATGCCTCTTTTGCAGAAGCGGATGGTACGCGTTTCCAAGGACATCATTTATATAATTTTTTCACATGGGTATGGGCATCTTAAAATATCGTCATTTCCAGTAAGGGCGAAAAAATATTTTACCGTCGCCACGCCAATAGAATGCATGTAGGATATCAGCGTAACCATCTCCCATTTTCCTTTTGTCTCCCCTCTATTTTTTTTTTTTTTTTTGCTATCTGCTGGTTGAAATATTTTATTATTTCTTAGTCACACATACAGGATATGGCGGCTGGGACGAGAGTAAGCGAAAGATATCTATGTGAACAAATCTGTGTGTGCTTAAGTTCTTTTGAAGAAAACCAAATAAACAAACAAACATAGGTTTTAATTTTTGCATTTGCCAAACAAAAAAAAAAAAAAAGAAAAACAGGCTTGGTTTTGGTTACCTTCTGGAGTATGTTACCTGAATATGTCTAACAACGTGTTTTATAATGGAAATGGAAAAGGACTAACGAAAATGTCCTTTTCCATTTGGAAGAGAGGGCACTTCGTATCAATTTCTGAATACGTTGCGAGTGCAAAAGCGCATAAATAACAAACTATTTACGTCTTTTGTAACGTCTCCGAGAATGAGAAATATATTTAACCCACCCCAGTTACAGAAATAATATATATTTTATTTTTGTAACAATTACAAAGTGGACACTTACTCTAGGACGGGTACTCTTGAAATGAGGCATGTAAAGTATGCAATTGTTACCACAGCCATCCATAGGGCATCCTTCCATATGACAAGAAATAAGGCGAAGATAATAGGTCCTCCTCGTCCGCACCGTGTGAATCTGCTTACAAATGTAACAACATGTAAAAGTTACCACCAACTGAATTCACAAGATGATACACCACAATGTTTGCGATGTAACAATAAATAGTTATGTAATAAGAGTAGTGCCATATCAATAACTTAATAATGATAGATTAATATACGTTTAATGAGGCGTTCGAGAAAAATCAGTGCCTTTCACTGACGACAGGATGGTAACTTTTTGACGATATAGTTAAAAAATCAAGCGGGCACCAAAGTAGAAGCCCATCAAGCAGAAGCAAAGCAAATTACGAAAATTATCGTGCTAAGGTTCACAAACGTGAATACACGGTAGAGTGACAATACATGATTAGAGTAGATAAGTAAATCTATACTCAAAGACAGAAAGGTTGGAAGTGCAATCAATAAATGTAATATACAAAAAGAAAGCTTGTATCCGTTTTAATTGAATACATTTAATGCGCCTGCATGGTTCTTATAGTTTACCTATATGTCACTCCATCTTAGGCATCCCAGACAGGGCGCTCCACCACATGAGATTTAAAAAAAATAATGTTTTTTTTTTATTTGAAGGATTTTAACCTTTGCCTAAAACGTTTTCGTCGAGAAATCTGTCTTTTTATTGGCGTGAGAGTGATCTTATTTAAATGGGCGTAAAACTATCAATCCAATCCAGTTCAAGCAAAGGTGCAAACGAGCTGGACAAGTACGGCGAAAATAATCCGTGGAGGAGGGGAGCAAGGGGGACAAAAGTCAAACACAAATCCCTTAACACAGCTAGGTGACTGGTACGCGATCCACGGTACGAATCCCAGCCGAACTCTCCGGAATCTGAAGGACTCTTATTGCGGAGAAGGCACTGTGTAACCAAAC